TGACCCTCCTGCGTGTCCCCAGTCCCCCTCCCACAAGAGCAAGCGGCAGCAGCAGGAGCTGATCGCCGAGCTGCGGCGCCGCCAGGTCAAGGACAACCGGCACGTGTACGAGGGCAAGGACGGTGCCATCGAGGACATCATCACAGGTGAGCCCCCTGTCCCCCTGTCCTACTGCCCCCTGCCCCTCCTGGGCATTGCCAGCCTCGTGCCTCAGTCCTCTCCTGCCTTATGGGGACATTCCTGGGGTTTAGGGCAGCCAGGGATCCCACAGCTGCTCCAGTGAGGGTCTGCCCCACATCCCTTTCCTCWCCCCACAAATGGGATGAGTGGCAGGATGAGGAACCTTTATTTCCCTTGATGGTGATCCCAGAAATGCTTCAGCYGTCCCCCAGTGACCCCAAACTGCTCCAGATTGTCCTGCTGACCCCACAGGGAAGGGACACAGCCCCTGGGGCAGCCAGGCACACCCAGGACTCTGCTGCTGATAAAATGAGCCACCTGTGCTGCCTTTTGCCCAGGAATCAAATCCTTTTTAACCCTTCAGGCTGCTGGGAATGCAGAACCAGGAATTTCCCACAAATCATTTGTGGTGTAGAAGGAAAATTATTTACCACCTCAGGAGCTTCACAAACTCTGTTTCCTTGCACAGAATCCCCCAAAAAGGTCCTTGCCTGCTGCTCCTGGGAGTTTTCCACAGGAGTTTTCCCTGCAGAAGGGCAGGAGAGCTGTTCCACCCCTTCCTAAGGAAAGCCAGGGAATTTTTGCCCACTGGATGATGGGGCTGAAGCTTTCCCAGTCCTTCTGAACCTCAATTAACGGCCCTGTGATAACATTCTTCATTTAAAGGGCAGGGTGGCAATGATACCCAGCCTGGCACTGCTTCCACAGCTCCTGGGAGTTGGTTTAATTGGCAAAGSGATGCTCCTGCTCTGTGGGAGGGACAGATTGTGTGACAGCCACCCATATCCAGGGAAAAGGGACCAGGGGAGAGGSTGCCAGGCTCAAATCAAACATTTCCTGTGCCCATGTGCCTGGATGGGCCCATTTTGGGGTCTCAAGCCACAGAGGAGGAAAGGTCTGGTGCAGAAAGTCAGGAAGGACCAAGATCACCTCCCCATCCCTGCAGATATCCCAGTAAATCATGGAGCTCCCCATCCCTGCAGATATCCCAGTAAATCGTGGAGCTCCCCATCCCTGCAGATATCCCAGTAAATCGTGGAGCTCCCCATCCCTGCAGATATCCCAGTAAATCGCGGAGCTCCCCATCCCTGCAGATATCCCAGTAAATCCTGCACCTCCCCATCCCTGGGAGTGCTCTAGGCCAGCTTGGAGCATGTCCCCTGGTGTTCCCGGTGTCCCTGTGGAGCCCTGAGCTGTCCCTGTGCTGGAGCAGCTCCTGGAGC